CCCCGCGACCCAGACATAGGCCTCCGGTATCCGTAACCCGTAGTTCACCCGGCGCTGCGGTGACACATGTTTCTGACGCACACTTCCGCTCGGTTTGTGGCGACCCGGTCGCTGCTCGTCAGCTTGTCAGCTGAAGCGACGCCGTGGCAGCACTGCTCGCAGCCCTCACCCAGGCCTCCACGTACCCCGTCAGGACCTCCTCTCGGCCGAAGCACGCGTGTGTGAGTCCGATAAAGGACTTTAATTCCACGGCAGCCGGGATACGTCCGTTCTCAGTAATCTTTTCTTCAACCTCGACAAAAGTCATCTCCACAGAGGCGGCGTGCCGCGTTAGCACCATGTACATGAAGGCGGAGTCACAGTACAGCGGGTCGTCAGCACCACACACGAGGAGCACGTGGTTCCGTCCGCGGCGGACAGTTTCGCGGAAATGGATGTCGTACAACGCATTCACCTCTGGCACACGCGCGTATCGCCGGTCAGGCCCGAAAGTTGAGTCCATGAAGAAGCCCATCTCGGCCGGGTGCAGCGCAGACTGACACCGACACTGCGCGACTGAGGGCGTGCTCCCCGGGTCGAAACAGCCGTACACAAACACCGTGCCCTTTACCAAGTCCAAGCCGAACTGCTTCTGCAACTTGGACACTGCCTGGAAAGCCAGGTACGCCCCCGCCGATTCGCCACAAAGAAACACGTTCTGTGTCCATGTCGGTAGGGCCGCCTCCTCCTCTTCCTCCTGCTGCACGGGTCCGTCGAGATGTATGGAGACGTCCCCCTGACGGCCGGGGTGGTCGGGGCGTCCTTGGCCGCTCATGAAGCGGCGGCCGCGAGGGGTGGACAGCCAGTAGAGGGCGCTGGCCACGTCGTCGACTCCCGTGGGGTGAGGGTGTTCTGGTGCCAGGCGGTAGCCGAGGCTGACAACCAGCAGTCGGCCACCGGCATTAAGCCGGAGCAGCTTGAAGTCTTGTTCGTCTTTCTGGCCCATCACGAAGCCGCCCCCGTGTACGTATACCATGCACCCTTCCGGCTCATTCATGGTGGACGATCCCACGGTGGTGGACGATCCCACGGTGGTGGACGACCCCACGGTGGGAGGCAGGACCCGGAGCCAGAGCGTCCGGTTAGCCTGGAAAGGCCAAGGGTGGTTGATTTCGAGGGTAAAGTCTTGTGCCTGCGGAAGTCGTTGGCGTTCTGGATCGTCTCGGCGTTGGGCGCGTAGTCGTTGGAGATCCTCCAGTGTGACGCACGGCTTTGCCTTCAGCTCCGATCTTTCGCTGACAGCCGCATCTTTAGGAAAGTCCGCCCGGTAGCAAGCGTCCATCTCCTAGTCGAAAAAATGATGTTCGACCTCCGTTTGGTCGTCAGCCCATTTGGCTTCCCCGCCGTTTAAGGTGTTTATTGACGCAGTGTTTGCGGTACACAAAAAGTGTGTGTGTGTAACCAATCTTTCGCGCTCTCTACATGACCAGTCTGCGTGCTCGTTGATGGATGTTCGCCGGGCTAATATTTATTTGCGTGCAGGGGGACCCATGAGTGTGTCTTCATCCGATCCGGAACTTGAGGTTGAAGAGTGCGATGAGATTGAAGACAGCGAGGTTGAAGACAGCGGGGCTGAAGACGAGGGGGAGTGGTCCCCCCCAGCAGACGAGGTGGCTCGGAGTGGGGATGACGAGTCGTATGAGGATTTGGCAATGGAGGAAGGCGTGGAAGACATGGACGTAGGTGCCCTCTTTGCGGGGTTTCGAGAAGAGGGAGACGACGCCCAAGTGGAAGAACGTGGTGGGGACGCAGACTTGTTGGCGGACGACGAGGACTGGCTGGAAGACATCCAGATAACAGGCGAGGAAGACATGTTGGAGCTGGCGCCGAGTGGAGCGGATGGCGCCACGAAGCCGCAGCCGCAATTGGCTCCCATTATAGCCCGAGGTAATGGCGAGCAGGAGAGGATGCTATCCTACTTTACGGGCTATATACGCCAAATGATGCGCTCGCTCACTGCAAACTTTTCCAAGATTGTGGTCGGCTTTCATGTTCTGGTCTCAATCTTGCGACGAGTGTCGGACCTGTCCGAGGGCTACAGCACCAAAGAGTCGCAGGTGCTGAAGGACATGGTCCACTTGGCTGTACGCTGTGCCTCCATTGATGTCGGCGGAGTTACCGCGCTGCAACAGAGCAGAATCGAAGACCTCTTCGCAGAACAAGCTGGACCCTTGGACGAAGACGTTTTTAGAAAAGCCGTGGTCGCCGTCACCAACAAGGAACAACCACTTGCCGTCCAACTCCTGGCGAGAACATTTTACGATCTGCTCCAAGAGAAGATCCCGTTCAACGTCTTCCAAGACCTCGTGCAGGAAGCCCGCAAAGAAGTCTCGACCCAACGACAAGAGCGCGCCTTCCAGCAACGACTTGCCAAATCCAAAGGCAAGCGATAAGACTCTGGCGCGATACGTGCACACTTTTTTATTAAACCTCTAAGTGCACACACCTTTAAAAATAAGTCCAAATTCAAAAATACGACCAACCAAATGGTGGTCATTATAAACGACGGCGATTCTCCCTCTGGACAAACCCATCATTCCTAGCAAATCATTCTCAGTGAATTAGTTATTCATTCATCGAGCTAACAGCTAATCGCTCTTTTGATCCATTGCTGCACAATTTTTGCAAACGACTCGCTTCTGTCGAAGCACGCATGACTTTCGCCATGGACAGCTCGGAACTCTACGTCCGGAACAGGACCTTCTTCTTCCTTTCCATCTATGCCGTTTTTTGCATTTTGCACGAACTTGGCAAGTTTCATGAAGAAGAATGCGGAATCGTCGTAGAGTATATCGTTGGTGCCAGCAATGATGAGTACCTTGTTGGTTCCGTTAACAATGGTTTCCCGTAAATATGGGTTGTATAGGGCGTTGATACTGGGGTCTCTGGAAGCTCTTTGTTCTTTGGTGAAGGTGAGATCTAGGAAGAGTTCCATGTCGTATGGCGCGAGAGGTATGTGGTCAGGGACGTCATAGCTAGAGGGCGAGCGGTCTGTGTTGTAGCAGCCGTACATGAGACAGGACCCCTTGATAAAATCAGCAATATTGAAGCGGGAATAGAGATTGGCAACAGATTGAGCAGCTAAGTAGGCGCCGGCCGACTCTCCCGAGATTAAAACTTTGTTGACCCACGTGGGCGTATCGGGATCTTGGTTCTCAGCTTTGAGCTCGGTATCCACCACAAGGCGAATTTCTTTCGGACTTTCCGGGTCGCGGTTCCGGTTATGCTGCACCATAAACTGCCTCCCAGCAAACGTCGACAACCAATGCAATGCACTAGTCACATCCTCCTGCTGAGTAGGGTGAGGGTGCTCCGGTGCCAAACGGTACCCAACTGACACTACCATTAAACTGCCGTCCACACTGACTAGTCCTAGTGCCTTATCTTCCTCGTCCTTCGCGCCGAATACAAAGCCTCCGCCATGGACGTAAACCATCACTCCCTTGCACTCACCCTTACTCGGCATTACACGTAACCACAAAGTCTTGTGTCCCACGGTCCACTCGTGCTTCAACTCAATGCAGTAGTCCTGGCACCGAGGGTCTCGAGCCCGACCCGGCTCCACCGCTCGTTCCGCCCGAACAACGGGCATGTCTTCAGCCTTCATCGGCGGTAACGGGTTCGGTCGCGGTGCGCAGCGCTTTGTCCTGTCCAGCGAAACCAACAAGTGATTCATTTGACTATTAAAAAATGACTATTAAAATGACCCCAAAAAATGCGCAGTGTGCACACACCCCAGTGCACACGCATCCCGCTCACTGTGCACACACATCCCGCTCACTGTGCAAACATATCCTGCCTACTCAGGCTTGTCGCGGTTTGAGTGGTCCGTAGTAGTAGGAGGCGGTGGCGCCTCCGTCGATCAGGATGTCGGTGCCCGTGATGAACGCGCCTTTGGAGCTTAGGAGGAGTTCGGCGACGTTGGCGACCTCGTCAGCGGTGGCAGGTCGTCCGGCTGGGCAGCGGGCGAACATATCTTTGTAAAAGTCTCCGCGTGGTCCTTTGAACTCGTCGCGAGCGAGTGGAGTGACAACGATCCCGGGCGAGATGGAGTTGAGCCGGGCGCCGCGCCGGCCCCACTTGACGGCCTCGGCCATGACGCGTTTCTGATTGCAGCGTTTGGCCATCTGGTAGGCATGGAGCGTGTCCTGGATAGTATCGAGCTGAAGGCAGGGGAGATTCAGCAACGCCTCCGGTCCCGTCAACGCCAATTGCTCGTCCACTTCCGGCGACAGAGCGGGCATGCGGTAGCTCGACTGACTCGAGATGGTAACACCCACGCCACCTCTCTTTATCACCTTCCCTACCTCCTCCAACAACACAGCCGTTCCATACAAATCCACCTTCAGCAAACCTTCCACCGACGCCTGACTCGGAGACAGACCAGCCCCGTTCACAAGCATCGCAACCTCGCCGTACTTCTGCGCCTCCGCCAGCAAACACAATACTGATTCTCGCGAACTCAAATCCATCTCGAACGGCACAACGTCGAACCCAGCGTCATTCATCACCTTCGCAATCGCCTCAGCATTTTCCAACTTCTTGTCACCCATCACTATCTTCATCCCAGCACCCAGTCGGCGCGCAATCGCCATACTTATCTGACCAGCGCCAGTCACCACCATCACATCCATTAATCGCAACCGTCGTGAACCTAATCACACATTCCCCTGCCCTGGCCACAAAGGCCCCCACCACAAACCTCCATACCCCCTTACCCTGGGTTGTGAAAAACAGCGGCCAACTTTTCGTCCCCAAATCCGGTCAGATTCGATATAAAAACCGGTGTTCGGAAACCCGTCTTCGAACCCGTCTTCGTTGGTGTTGAGGGTTGTCTGTCCAGTTGAGGGTTGTCTAGTTGTGTTTATGTGTCTCTTTTTGTTGTGTTCCGGAGGAGTTCTAGTCTGTCGCCACACTCGAAGGGGTGTACATAGGCCTTGCGTAGAATAGATATACGGCTGGGACTGACGGGTTCAACGACGGTTTGTACGACTCCTCGGAGGGGTGCGGTAATGTTCCAATTTTCTAGTTGTCTGGCGAACTTAGTGCGTAGTTTGTGTACCCATTTGCGGAAGGTAGATGCATGTGTGAGTAGGATGGATCGTTGTGCTTTCTCGCCGGCGGCCATGAGGAGAACAAGGAGGGATGTGACTAGGAGGACGGCAGCGCCGATGGTGAGATTGCGTATGTTTTCGTCGGGGTTGAAGACGGCATCTTGAACGGAGGATTTAGCGTTTTTAGCGCTGACCGCGACGGCAAAGTAGTAGCCGGCCATGAGAAACAGGAAGAGTGCAACGAAGTAGAAGATGAAGGAGACTGCGCTGCTTGCCACCACGCCTGCACTTTCGCTCCGCGTGCGCCAGACCTTCATAGTGAGGTTGTATTTGTCGACCCAGAACTTGGCCGTGAAGAAGACACCGCCCATGAGCGGTACGAGAGGGAAGTCCACACTGAACACGATGCAAACCGCGAACACCGCTAGGTGGAAGGCATACCAGAAGCCATAGTCAAAGTTCCATCGGTTGGCGCGTTTCCCGAGTCTCAGAAACACACGTTGCTGTGAAAACATCGGCAGCTGCATTAATTGCATAGACGAGTTGATGCAGATCGTATTCAGCAAATAGCGCAACACAAATGAGCCAGATGCACCCGCCGTCATGGTCCCCAGTAAGGTGGGAACACGTCCAAGTGAAGTATTTGTAAAGAACAACAATAACGTCTGAAATGACGTGGTACCTAGCACTGGGAACACAAGGGAGTTAATCACCATGTAGTGCACGTTAGCGTATAACACCGTCCGGTCACGAGAGGAGGTTCGCCAGAACTTACTGGCGTTCGCACCCTGGGACACCAGGAATGGCAGCAACAACGCATTAATCAAATATAGAAAGTTCGGCATCAACCAACCTGACACCGACACTTTGAAAAATGACGCCTTCTCCACAATCTGCTCCAAGTTAGACGCCACCGTCAGCAAAACCGTCGCACCCACAGTCGAAGAAGTCAACGTAAACAACAATAGAAAGATCCCAATATTCACTATCACGATCCTATACGCACGAACTGATCGACGTATATGCATGTTAGACCAAATTATATCCTCGGGTGGCGGTGCCTCACGAACCCGCCAGCGCGCATTCCACACACTCCCACAGTGACAGTGCTCCACCTCCAGGTTCTTGTTGCACTTGGTGCACTTGATCACCGACTTCTCTCGCGCCACAGATAGATCCGTATCCGCTGACTGCCTCCCTGGGTCGTCTGGCTGACGTCCCCGGTCGTCTTCCCTCCGGTCGTCTTCCCTCCGGTCGTCTTCCTTCCGGTCGTCTTCCCCCCGGTCGTCTTCCCCATGACCCATCCCACGGCCGCCACTCGTCCCACGGTTGCGGTCTCCACCTCCAGATTTAACTCCAGGGGCAGGCGGTAACGCGCGGAAAACGGGACAGGCGGGGTGGGCGAGATCGTGGGTAAGTGCGAACCGCGTGGCCTCCATAGACGTGAAGCATACGAACGCGGTGCCGACGTTCTGGGTAGGCTTTTCCATAAGCAGTTCCTCGAGTGCGTGAAACTTCTGTTTCGCGTCTTCTTCAAGCTTGGTGAGTTCAGTAAAGTAGCCGTCGAGTCTCTTACGTTTTTTCTCCGGCAACTCCTGCAGGTTCATCGAACCCAACCGCAGTTTTAACGGCTCATCCGCCGGACTCAGCACTGCCGAGTCCATGGTCGCGAAGGGCATTTGGCCCACATGAACGCGTAATTTCTCCGGCGGCGGCAACTCCGGTAAACTGCTCACGTGCACCATACCGTGCCCCTCTGCCCCCAACGCCCCCTCGCCGTGCGCCGCACGCGCACTGTAGCGCGATCCGAGGCGCCGCCCGCCATAACGCAGCCCTGACACACGCGTGTGCGCCCGCCCGGCCCCGGTCCCGGCTGAGGCCCGAGAACGCGTTTCAGAGATCCGAGACCGCACCT